AAAGATGATTATATTTGATTCACTTTTTATGCATATTTCTACTTGTTTGAATGTGTTTGACAAAACATTCAATTTACAGTATGATTATATTTTCAAATATTTCTAGTTTAGTTGTTCTCTTCATTTTTCTGGTAAGCGCTTTTTTAGCGAGTTAGTTTTCTACGGGATGGGGACGCTAACCCCATGCCCAACCCTCCTCCTTTACCCGGGCTTGGGACCGGCAAGGGATTTTAACATGATCATTGAACACTGAAAAATTGTTTTTGTATTCATTGGGATATTTCAAAGAACTCATTTCTGTTATACACAGTCTATCTAGTTAGCAACATATTTAGAATTATCAAGAAACATAATAATAGGTCGAAACTAAATATTTCCTACCTTTTTATTTGTCTGGTTACCATTGAAGGCATACGCTGTGGGTCAAAAATGTAGCTTAATCTTTTAAGGGTAAAAGATATACATTTGTCATTGTGTTGGATATATATTCCGAACTCGGTTTAGCTAATAAGATTGTTAAGCTCAATCCTCCTTTTCTCACTTAAATAACTAGTTGAGCTCGCGTATGGAAAGATTGTGCATCAGTAAACAGACTGAGATAATGGGACAACATAACAATTCTGGTATAAGCTACAATTGTTCATTATGAATTTGATTTTTTTTAGATTTCCAATTTTCAGCCAGTCGAATAATTTCTATCTTTTTTTTACAGTATCGAATTAAAACACAAACAACTCAAAAGCGTGATCCACATAATTCAGCTGATCCTATAACAATCCAATGAAATATTAATCATCTCAGATTTACAAACTACAGAATTAAGCCTACTTTCTTTGTTTAAAATCTTATGACATTGAAAGTTGGATAAATATTCAACAAGTTTTTCTTTTATTAAACTAAGAAAGACAAAATTGTTGGCGTTTAAAATAATAAATGTAAAATAAATTAAATTGATGAAAGAAATAAACACTTTGTTGTATACATCTTCGTACATATCACTTAAGCTCACTGAATATATATATATATATACATATGCATTGAGTTCTCTTTAATAGTTTGGTGTACATTTTTCATTACTTCCTGTTTTACTACTACCAATGTTTTCTTTCAAAGTAAACAAAATAAACTTTTAATGTACAAGATAATTTTCAGACATTTAAACAATAATACTTTAAATACAAAGGTTGATCAGTTATTGATGTGTTATAACTTGTGCCTTCGTGCCCTATTCATATATAATGTCATGATACCTCCAATTAGAGAATAGTGGTTTATAAACCGGACCAATGACACATAATACCCGTACGAGCAGTCTAGAGTCTTTATCGGTCCTTCTTCCTCCCTAGCCTTGTCTGTTGATTCCAGAATACCAATCTCAGCCTCTGCGATATGAATAATGTATTTCAAACATACTGCGTTTATATACAAACAAAGCAGACCATATCGTACCATAAAATGGAAAATAACATTTGTACAATATCTAGCCAAAAGTGACTGTGAATGTGGGGGATTGTAAATTTCCTGACTTTATCGTCCCCTATGAAATAGTGTTGGATCCTCAATTCCGTAAGTCATAATTAATGTGACTCTATTTAAAACGTATTTTCCATATTGAATAGAGAATTCACTAAGAAAATCAGTATCTATCGAAATTGAATTAGGTTCTTGATCACCATTTGATGCATCCGACATATTTTTTTCACTTTTGTAAGAAATTTCATCAAGAACATATGATTCATTAAAATAACCCATATCTGGTAAAACAACTAGAAAATTCCGATAAGCAGACTTGTGAGAATGTTTTGTCGTAGAATGATGTGATCCATTTAGTGCAACTGTATTTATTATGTATGTATTCATTATTTTCTGTTTCTTCTTGATCGGGTATTGCAAAAATTTCATGCTCATTTGACAAGACACCGTCTTTCTGTGAGCTGAACAAGTCACTGCTTGTACATTGTGTTTCGGGGATAATGGGATTCGAACCCACTACATGGCAAGTTTCTGAAATGGACATTGCTGGACCACTGGGTGGGTCATGTACAACTGCTACTGTTTCGTTGAAATTACTGCTTTTCAAAGATTCATGTAGGCTTTCACCGACACATTCATTCATTCTGCAACCACTTTCCAGCTCTGTATGCAATTTAGAAATTAATTCATTAACTTACGTCACATCTCCGAAGCATTGATGATTCAGCAGCCTTGTGCGTAATTTGTCTATAATTCTCGTCGGGATATAACAAATAACAAACGTGTTAGACTTTTGTTGGTCGACGATATTCAGATATTTTTACTGTTAGTTTACAGCATATGGCAGTAATGTTTCAAATCCATAAGAAATGCAGGTAACTGTCTTATTGGTACTTAACCTTCTCTGACCCAAACATTATCTGTTTCTGATCAAATCCAAGTGATTTGTTATTGATTAGGCTTTAGTGAATTATAAATCTTTCTTCTTCTTAACATCGGAGTACGTATAAACTTCAGCGTAAGCTTAATTTCAATCAGCGATCTATATCCTACTAATCTGAGAATTTCAATTCTAGTACTTTTTGAGTATTATTCACTTGATTCTCAATATGGTTTAACCTTTGGGTGACAGGCCAGATGTGTCATAATTTGCTGAAGTCAGGGTGATTAAATGTCCTAAGTTCAGTTGTAGGTGACAATTACAGGCATGGCAGGTCAGTGGTGTGAGTTCACCCAACCAGGATCAATGCTAAATATATTTTGTTGGTTCGGACACATCTAAATGTGCTTTGACTGTGCGCAAATAATTCGGTTTGTCACTAATGCTTGCTAGTCATTCTTAATCTTCTTACCTGAACACCGGTCGGTCCGAAGGCTTAGTGACTATAAACCTTAAAAAAATTGAACTGACATCATGCACACTAAGAAGTATTATGTTGCGAAACTGCTAAAGTTTACACTGCAGTAATACTATATTTTAACCTTTAATGTTAACACTTCAACATCTTTTACAATATTCACCCTTAAATTCTCCATATTCGCCTCAAAATAAACGAATTTTCCAAAAAAAATTGATTGAGGTAATTCCTGTCACCGCGGAAGACAGGAAATGTTTGATTACGATACCGTAATCTAATACATAAGTATGCTTCCATTTACAAAGGTAACTGAAAATTCATGATTTTCACTATGGCTAAAAACACCCTTTTATATATTGCAAACTTACACTATGATCACGTTAAGAAGTACATACATTTCTGTATTTCGATGACGATGTAATAATTTTTATTTAGTTTCACTGATTCTCTACTTACAAGAAATGATTCATTGTCAAATACTTCACGTAAAAAATGAATGTAAATCAGTGGCCAGTTAATAAAGGGTGGGCCTTTCTATTTCATGATTTATTCAATCAAACGGATTGTTATTAATTTGCCTAAAGATGTTACTATTATGTGCATCGGAATACCAGTTTGAAGGTTTGAAAGTGCAAAAAACACTTTTTTAACTGGATATTTTGCAACCTTAAACCAGAAAATCCATAGAAAACAGAAAAACCCTATCCAACAGGCTACATAAGATTTCGAGTATCCAGAATAATATTTGCGATTGGTAATAATTCGATTTCATTCGCCAATAAATGTGAACGATCAAGTAACGCCCTTACCCATACACATTTAAAGGCAGAAATAAGCAAAATAGAGGTTATAAAAAATCGTCCCCATAAATTTCGAGAAAATCTAACAGTATAATTTTGAAACGCTGGCTGAAAATAGCCAGCTGGTGTACATATTATACTCCCACATTATTATTCATCGCGAAAATTAAATCCAGAATTCCACATACGCCACAATAACGTATACATGATTAAATCATATATTTTAAGCTTATAAATCTACATGTGCATGAACATATGATCTGTTTTGAAGGCAACTGCAAATGTGCTAAAGTAACTTCAGTCATTTTTTCAGGGACTTGGCAATTCAGCTTCTGTACAGTAAAGCAGGTGACGGGTTTAATTTAAAAACAACCTCTAAATACTCAAATAGAAATCGTCAAAGTTTGTGAAATCTGTAGCCATTAGAAAATCTAACCGTTCTTTGTGTTTAAAAAATGTTTGTCCTAACTTTCAACCACACCTAGAAATTCCTAATCTAATAGTAACTTTATTCCATATACTCTTAAACTTACATTTCTAAAAGTTATGCAATTTGGAATCTTGTTTGTATGCCTCAGTATCAATTATGGATTTTCTACATACTTTCTTCTCGCTTACTTTAAGTTTAGCCTATCACTGCATTATACTTGAAATAAATTTTCCTATTAAGTCAATATACCTATGACGAGTTTATCCAACGTAGAATTCTCACACGACAACTGAGTAGTTCACATAGAATTAAATAAGATCATCTACCTAACCTTTGATGAGGACCTAAGCTTTTCATATAATATATGCATTACAGTTACCAAAATGAATGATAAAATACAATTTTCTGCATGTTTCACCAATTGTGTTAGCCCTGATAAAGAGGTCACAAAGAAATTGAGAAAGCATTTTCAATTTGAAGTTCAGTTCACTTTGCTTTAATGTTGCAGTTAAAATACTTTATAAATCGAATAAACTGCAAATACTGATCGAGTGTTATTGATATTCACAACAAAACTTTAGGTCTGTGGATACAGCAACTGAAGTAATTAAGGGGAATATTACAAGACATACACACTTCACATAAAACTATACTGATACAGATTTCGACAAACTTAAGAATTCAGTCAAAGATACTACTATCCAAGTTGGTTCACAATGTAGGAAAAAATAATCCAGTAAACACTAGTTAGTACGTTTTCAGGCAAATAACTTTAAAGATGGAAGGTGGGAGCACTATGGTGGAGGCATAGTATTACAAGTTGTCAGACAAGTAAACAATTGGCTATAATCAGTGAAGAGTCTTTTGGATGGCAAATAATCAGCGATTTTTGAATAGCCATAGCGTGTTCTTTTTTAGATTTTTTTCAAAAAAGACCCATTAATCCACGTTTTAAAAAAAGTATATTTTTAACAAACCCATCTGCCTTGCAATAATCTCATTTACAAAGCAGAAAATAATTAATATGAAAGTGAATGCATAAAACCAGCAAAGTAAGCGAAGAATATTTTAAGAAAACCGATATTACTGAAATATCATTAACGTGTGACAGAAGTAAATGTTAAAAATACACCAATTCTTTACAATGGTTGATTCTTTATTCTGCATAAAACGAGAAATGTTTGTTTTAAAAGGTGATAAATAATCATAAAGTATATATAAAAAACCTTCACTCAAAAAAACCCTTACTAAGTTGATTTAACAGACTTATAAAATAAACAACACATTCATGCATACACTCCACATTTTGTAAGCAAAAATATAATCACAGTCATCGCTTAAATCATTTACAAGTACAAGTGGTTGACTACTAAATAATTTAAACGTGTGTAACTAGGCCAACAAAAAAAGCACATTTTGAAGCTTGATGAAAGACAGAATAACCGGCAAACTCCCAGAGAATTTAAGAAACATCAGTTAAAAAACGTAATCAAGGTAAAATAAGATATCTGACGGCGCAGACAAAATCAATAGCGAAAGGAATAACCAAAGATGAACCGGTAGGGTTAGATTCAGAACCAGTTATATGAAATAGCATAAATCAGTAGTACGAATTAGAGTACATAGTTAAAGAAATAAATAATTAGGGCTGAGAATGCTCCTTTGAAATAATTTTGAATATAATTCACCTAGAAATCGAATATTATACAAAACTCCAATAAACCTCTATACTACTATACTAAAAAGTAGTATAAGTAAGGGAACTTTATTAGGTAGACAAATACTATACAAAAGACAACGAAAAACGACAAGGATCATAATGATTAATTTCATAGAATAAACTGGGGTGGAGATGGTATTAAAGAGATTGAATACAACTATGTACAATAATGAAAGTGGAAAGTGAAGGAGAATTATCCGGAAGGGTTATTGATTTAGACGATATGGAATAATGAGAAATTAACTGGAAATAATAATGATAATTCATGAACAAATAAGGAAGGAAGTGAAGAACAAAAGGGAACGGAGCTATAAAAAATCAAAAGATGCCTTTTCGACATGGACTGACAACTACAATGCATACGTGTTTAAATATCTTTAACAGATAATAAATTCATGCGTTCAGATGAACAGTTATATTTACCACAATGATTGGTATTATCATGGTGATGATGATGTGTTAATCCATTCATTAAAACATTCGAATTGATAAATGATTTAGGATAATGTCCAATAACAGATAAATGTAAACCCATAGCTTGAGTATGATATTCATATTCTTCTTTTTCAATTTGTATAGTTAAATGAGATACAGATGTGAAATGATTTTGAATTAATTCTTTAATCTATTACACGAATGAAAAAGAATAAAGTAGGTAAAATTTTGTTTAGTAAGCTAAATGCTAATAAAACATAATTATTAATGAACAAAAAACAAGTTACTATTGCAACTAATGTTAGATCCTAAGTTTTGTGACTTTAAGAAAACGGTTAATAAAAAATTGGACGTTGAAATCCAATTTGAAAAAAATTTATACCCAAACACCAGAACTAGTAACTTCATCAGAAGATGATGTCGAAAGATTTAAATCAACACTAATAGACTGTTGCCTTAGACACCTAAACAATGAATACAGTTCGAAAGGAATTTCGACGAAAAAATATAAAGAAGCTTTAAGCAAATAGATGATAATTTGTTAATTACGAAACCAGACAAAGGTTATGGTGTAGTACTCACGGATGAAAACGACCGTTTAAAAAGGATGAAAGCCGTTTTAAGTGATAGGAGTAAAGAATGATGTGACAGACAGAATTTAAAAACAACTATGAAAATCACTGAAACATTAAAAAAGATTTTATTTCAGAAAACATGTTCGAAATGTTAGACCTACGGGAATGAAATTCATTCACAAATACATAAATAGGATGAAAAGAGAACTAAATATATCTACTATTATTTATTTATTTCAACACATAGATATTGCTACAATGAGGCACCAAATACATATGCACCACACAAATCTCATTTGATATGTGTGAGGGCTGTGACACTGCCCGGGTGACAAAACCGAATCAGGTGGTTTTCTTACGGGGCCACACCCACAGCCTTCGACCTGAACGTCTGATCCACAAGACAGTGGAGCAGCGTAAGGAGATGCAGTCCAATGGTAGCCGGTGACCAACGATTGGTTCATATGCCATTTGCTCCTTTAGGATACTGGAGACCATGTACACCATTGGTTTGGAATCAGGGTTTTCCAACTCCCCTAGGTGTACTCTCCATGTCCACCAACCCGGTTAAAGCACTAGACATTCGCTTTTCGTCCTCTCAATTTGGTAAACAACACTCCAGCCACGAGAAGGCAGTGAATAGGAATTCCCTGGCAGAGGCTATATACGCGTGGCCATGTGAAAGCCTTTCGAGAGGGAGAGCGGACTCTCCCCACTCTCGGCCGTACTAGGGTATTTGGGGGCTCTACTATTCCAGAGGAAGTATTGGTGTTAAAATTACTATTTCTAAATGATGCTACTGAAGAAATTGTAACTCAAAAGAAAGACGGTGCAGAAAACATTTACTGCAGCCAAACTGAATATGATTTTCTACATCCCCCCTATAATAAAAACCATCAATGAAGATAAACTGCCTTAACTCGCCACATCCATGTGTATTCGCCATTTCAACTACTGTAGAGCCAGTTATATAGAAAGTACAATTCGGCAAATCCCTCACTGCATAGCACATGGTTTACGAGTTCGTCTGTTGCATTTTGCTGAAGCTATCGGGATCCGTGTTCATAAACAATTTTGTGGCCCTTATATCTGGCTCCGGGTAGATCGTGTAAATGATTGTTATTGAAATACACAGGTCGGCTATCCTCGTATATAATTATCGACTTAATCCGCTTTAGTCAATAACGGAATTAAATAAGTCAAATACGAGAATGAATTTCGAATACGTATATTTCATACAATCGTTCATCCAGACAAACGAGCGGAGAAACGAAGCGAAATGACACACAGTGGAGAAAGAGTGTGATCCAACTCGATTTAATCAAGAGTTAATCGATATTTAAAGTCAGATAAAAATAAGTTACAGGCATGTGATGAATAGAATAAGCAATGAACACAAATACGCTCACATAAAAAACAGTTAAGATTGATAAGTGAAAAATTAACAAGGTCGAAAATGTGACTCAAGAAGAATGAATAAATTGGTGTGACCAGAAGCTAAAATAAGTATGTGGGCTTAACATAGTAACCGACACTACAACCTAACCTTTGCATCCAAAAGAAGTGTTTACAACTACTAACATGACCATCGGTATAAAAGTGAGGTTCTAGCTGAAGTTTGGTTAAACACCCTCTTTCAAAAATATTTAAACAATTCCGGTCTACTTGGGAATCGTTGGTATCTATAATCTTGAGTAGAATGATGTTACCTATGATATCCAGAACGCTATCAAGGATGCTACCAACGATCTATTTACGCTGGCAGGAATCTTTTGTTGCACTTAGATGTTGACACTAGTAGATCAATAAAAGATTATGAATATCATATTCTCTAGTCTTTGGTGTAGAAATCGTTCATAACTAACATAACTAATAAAGTCGTCAAGCATTTAGCCTTATCATTGCTTTTTAAGCAAGTATTTTTATTTTTGTTTGGGCATCACCTTTAGTTCCAGTTTGAAGAAAAGAGGAATAGGTGTTTTGTAGCACTTTTTCGCGATTAGGATATACCTTCCATTCGAACTAACTTTTTGAGTACGCCTATCTGATATGGTTAACGCTATAATCAAAATCACTAAGTGGTTTGTATGGGTTATTACACATGAGAAATTTATCAGTGTTCGAGAAATTTTCGGGCTCTCATTTGAAATATTCCTAGTAATACTTATATCCCATTAAAAACGGTTGAACCGAATGAGTCACATTTGCAAGACCATAACTATAGAGAATAGCTGACAAAAATATGAAAATACTACAGAACGTATCTGCTATTTAAATACGTAAGCAGCACTGCGAACAAAATTATAACTACAACTTTCAAGTCACAAGAAATATTAATTCTAAGTAAATAAAAGCATTGGAAACTACCTTTCGTAATAATACTTGTTCTGAGGCACTAGACTGAATTCGAACCGTTACACAAACACATACAGATTTATGCATATGAGTCCAAATAAATGGATTTGAAACAGAAACAACTTCATCCACTTGTAATATCTGAAAAAGTTTATTAAAACAATAAAACATATGAGCAACCAAATTAGTGAATGCATCTAAACCATTGTGAATGATCCTAAGTGATGTAGCTCAAAATCTATGACGGACTATCGTGGTAAGCACGCAGAATCCAACCAAGTAATCTGTATTTATCAACACGCCTCAGATCAACAGTTAATGACCTCACAGACTGAAGCCATGTTTGGGTTTAGCCAACCTCAACTTTTTTCTAACCTACTACCACACCGTACAACATCGTGAGTCAAGGTATGCGGCGATTAGATGTAAGTAACATATGTTCTAATCACCTCAATCGATGAAGGTTCATTACTTTAACTTACCTATGCCTAAATAAATATACAACAAATAAAAATTAGTTGTTCATTACAATTCTTATGATAACCTGTTACAATTTGATGAAAAAGTGATTTAGTTCATTTTCGTTCAACTCATTCCACTAAAAAGGTGGAATAAAAATGTGATAATTAAGCGTCCGATTGTTATTGAAACTAATATTTTGGACATTATTAGTCAACATGATTTCTCTGCGATTGTCATGAAAGAACTTTTGTCCTTTCTTGCAAAACTGATGCCATGAGGGATTGAGACCAGTCAGATGGAATTACGTCCAGTCCTCAGATCCTAGCTAAGATCTCAGTCAAGCTAACTGTTAAAACTAAACCACCATTCTTAAAGATTTTCAGGGCTCACGCATCTGAAACCAATGTTTTCTCTCACTCCAAATTACCTATAACCGTTTCAAACTAACAGTCGGAAAACTTATGCAAATTTGCCATTTAGGTTGTTGAAAGGTGGATAATTAGAGGGTAACCTAAGACCGGTTGAACTGTTCATCAAAGTGTTCTGTATATCAATTCAATCTCTTGGATTGAACGGGAATAACAGTCTCATCTCTTTCAGTGATAGTTTCACTAACAGGGGATTTTGATACCTATTCTGAATAATTGTCTACTGCTACCGACAGACACTACCTTTTCTATTTATTTTGTTTTCGTTGCCCACCACTGCCCACAATGATTGTGTAGGCTTTTATCCGTATGGATTGAATTGAATAAATTAAGGAAGTTTAAAAAATTTGTGAATCATAAAATAGAATGATAAATCAAAACAATCAAATAAACTCTTTCTATGCATTTAGATAACTTGACGATAAGATAATTTGAAGTACGTATACTATTATAAGAGTTGTCATTTGTTTAAGTACATAACACTTTTAATTAGTAATTTTTAAAGACCTAACAATTAGTCCATTCACAATGACACAAATTACTCACAGATAATTTACTCTTACACAAGTAACAGATTCAAGTTGGTTACACTTTATAACAGTGAATAAAAGAAGTATATAAAAGAATCTAAGTCTATAGAAAATATATGATGAATAGTGAAATAAAAAATAGAAATAAACATAAATATAAGCAAATATAAATATTAGATAACTTACTTTCTTAACCATTAATTGAGAATGAAATTCATGAGGTACTTTTAAAGTAAGCAAACAAAGGGTATCATTGAGCAAAGGCATAGCTGAATAGCCAATTACACATGCAATAAACATTGAACATATCGGGTCAGCTACATTCCAACCATAATTAGTTACCAGAAATGAACTGAATATTACACTTACACTACCCAAAGTATCAGCAAGCACATGTAAATACACACCTATGCAAAAAATGAAACAATATAAAAATGAAGTATGAAACTAACCAATTGTATTTCATTTGGAAATATAGACTTTTGATAACGATTAACAAAATTTGTATCAACATGGCACTATTCATTTATCGAGCACAGATCTACGTACAAAAATTTGGGTTACAATGTATGTGAGAACTAAAGATACTACACAGCTCAGTTAGTCAGTCAGTAACAACGTAGGACTTCGTACGTACGTACATCAGTTCGAGTTGCCACACCACATTAGCACAGAGATGCAGTTGTCGATTCAAATCCCGTAGTGGTAGGAACGCTAAGAGTATAAGCAGTAATCGGAAAGATTAGGGTTTGAAGATGTTATTCAATGAGTACAATACAGTGAAATAAATTTGGAAAGAGAAAAAAGGAACATGAAGAATTCAGAAGATTAGAATTTAAGAGAACACAAATTGGCAAAAGCTAGTCGAGTCATCTATTTTCGTGCTGGGATTTCGTCACACACCAGACCATAAGGGCTGATGAGACTTCCAAGATAAGTGAAGCAGTCGACAGGCTCAATTACTTCACTCCCTATCATTAGTTCGAGTGCCGATGTAAGCCAATCCTGAAGCAACATTTTGCATTTCGAGGGGGAGAATCGAATGCCGAATGTGCTAGCATTGTTGCTTATATTGGTCAGAAGACTCTGCGTTTTGTCAGTGTCTTCACCAAACAGAACTATGTCATCGGCATATTCTAAGTCAACAAGTGAATCTCCCGGTAGAAGTCCAACCCCTGGAAATCTAGACGAGGAAAGTGTTATCTCTAAAAGTACGTCAATGACAAAGTTAAACAAGAATGGAGAGACTGGACAGCCCTGACGAACACCACTTGAGGTAATCAATTCTGATGACAGTTCGCCATAAGCTCTCACTCTACCAGTTGTGTTCGAGTAGAGAGCCTGTATAAGGTTAATGTACTTTTTTGGTACTCCCTTCAGTGATAAACACTGCCACAGAACCTCACGATCAAAACAGAGTCAAATGCCGCCTTAAGGTTGAGAAATACTACGATTGTGGGGCGTCTGAATGTGTGTCTATGTTCTAGGACCTGACGTAGTGTGAATATCTGGTCTATACAACCCCCTCCAGGTTGAAAACTACACAGCTACACCAAACCGAAGTAGGTGGGGGTGAGCCGAAACGTATTTGAAATTCTACGTGACACATTTAAAGCTATTTTATGAAAATTGACTCAGTACAGATTAGAAAAGTATGAACTATTTCACAAATTAACATTGCTTTCTGTTTTCATAGTTGCTTCTAATACAAAATGGTAAATCTTGAAACCTGACTATTTTGGAAATCACTCAGCGGATCTCTTGTATGATAAAGGCTGAAAATAAAGGATAACGGTAAAATAACGTGTTTTTAAAATGTTACATTATATCATAGATTTAAAGAATAATAGGCTGTGAAATGGATTGGTTAATAATAGTCAAGCAGATGGGCACCAAGTTTGAGCTTGCATCGAGCACGCTATTGTCAAAACAACAAACAGTTACGTTAAGTTAATTTGAAAAAGATTTACTTAAATACTTATAAATATCACATATTATAGACTAGTATAATTCTGTATTAAGTCATCCATTAAACATAGTACACATAAATATTATATTATTAAGCAAATAAACAATGGAATCCTATTTCTCTAAGGCCACAACTTCGACGTAGAAATGGATTTCACTGATAAGATATTTTAAGTTTTAATCATGCTATTCGTATGAACATTTTTCCAGCACCTAACTAAGCTATCGGTGAACCTGCGGTTTTACCAGACAACAACTCTGTACTTAATTTGTTAAATATTTGTATGACAATTCGACTACATTTAAATATTATTAAATTAGCATATAACAATACGAACAAATAAATATCCTTTAAATGGGTTAGAACCTCTTAATATATAGCAAAGTTAGAACAGTTTTCGGTACATTTCGAAAGTATATCATATAACTACATATTTGGAGCTCTTCCACAACAGTCTGACTGCAACACGAAATACATAACTGCACTATTCAAAGTTATGAACATGAGAAAAGTTGAAAACTTATCAAAATATACCTCGTAGGTTAGCATCTCCTGCTTCATCTTTCTGTGATTTGTGCGATCCACAGTGATGCTGATGACCGTGTGTATGACCATAATGAAGTTCTTCATTATGAGCTTCAACAGCATGTTTGAGATCATGGTGATGAGAATGAGATCTATTTGAACTGTGGCTATGATTCCGGCTATGGCTGTGACCATGCTCGTGATTATGACAATGTCCACTAGAACTGCCTCCATGATTATGACCGTGGGAACCACTATGACTGTGACCATGTCCACCATGACTATGACCATGGCCTCCATGACTGTGAGCATGACCAAGAGCGACAACACCAACAATATTTACAAGCAAACCTAAAATAGATACAGCCTAAAATAGAAAAGTTGAAAATTTGGGTACAGAAACAAAGAAATTGTTCAATATATTATTCAACAGAAATTTTATCATTAGCTTTGAATAACGAACAACAACAGGGATACTAGAACTCAACATCTACATGAAGACAAAGAGTAAAATATATCCGTCCCGCTGTAACTGCTTTTACACGTTACTAAATGTTTTCAAATATTGGTCGAGACGATCATGTGGACCCCAGACAAGTAATCTGCATCTATTAAGATGACTCAGACCAACAGTCAATAACTTCATGGACTAATCCAACGTCTTTTTAATATCCCTATATATGTGGTGTTTTCTACTTAAGCTGACAGATATAATTAGTATGTATCAGCAATCGGGAGCGGAATGCCTGGCAGTAAGAGATTGCAATGAAGAGAACAGAAAGAAAATCTGAGAACAGTCGAAATAACAACAGTATTAGAGGAATAATGTAGTGTGTAAAGGAAAACGCAAAGAAAAAGTACAAATAATATGTGTTAAGCAAGGTGCGTTGAACAATAAATTGGTTACCCCTACCAAGTCTTCGTTCGCCTGATATATAATTTTTTGAAATAAATGGACCCATGCATATTGTTAATGAGTTGAAGTGTAAATAAGAAGATAAAAGATCTACTAATGTTACATTATATTGATGTAATTTGGTGGATTCATATTCATCACTGATTGAAGTGATTCCCAATTGTTCTTATCAGTAAGTAACGACAGTAAGACCGTAAATACCAACAACTTTAAAAACACATTGAAATGTATATGTTTGTTAAGTGGCAGCTCAATAAAAATATGTTTCTGTTAAGATTTCCATATCTTTCCGATTTTTTTCTACTACGATAATCGTCAATCATATACAAATAAATGGAGGTAGAGAAAAAGCTTATCACTAGTTTTCTACGCATACACCCAAATGTTGAGTAATGAAAAATCAATTATGTAATAGCATAGCATAGCATCAAGAAAGATAAAAATAGATTAATAAACTTACCAATAATTTATCAGTTTTAATGTCTGGTGGTTGATGAATACGTACAATTGAATTGATAAACACTGATCCAGATATAACCAACAGGAACAGTGCATTGACAAGTCCAGATAGAATCTCTGCACTGTTATATCTGAATAAGTATACGGAAAAAAATAAATTCTGTAGTTCTTTGAAAGAGTTAATTGAAGCGCAAAAATAATCATACGATAACGTAAAGCGTGAATATTAGTAAAAGGGTGGCTTACATAATTAGTGGCAAAAAATGACTTATTGAACGGTTGTAGTATTATCCTCAGTAATACAATCGTGACGAAAAGTTTGATTTCGTGACAGTATTATAGAGTCTAGCACTAGATAGAACCCATATCGGTTATTCTAGATTCCAAATAGACCAAATTATTCATTCTTCTTGAGCCGTATTTACACCTTGTCAGTTATTCACTTACTAACCTTGACTCCTTTTATATGACCGTATGTGTTAAATACTTATCCTATTCATCACATGTCTTCAGCTCATTTTTGTTTGGGTATAAATATTGAGTCACGCTTGATCAAAGGAAGTTGACATGTCTACCTTCTGCGATCTAATTCTCCGCTCCGTTTCTCTGATTGTCCGCCTGGATCAACGAGTGCATGAAATATACGTATTCCAAATTCATTCTCGTATTTGACTTATTTAGTTCCGTTTTTCCCTAACGTGAATTAAGTTGATAATTATGTACGAGGGTATCCGGGGTGTATATTTCGTCAACATCATTATACGATCAAACCAGAGCCAGATTAACGGACCACAAAAGTATGTTAAACAATTCTTCAGTTACATTTTAGTGACCAAAATTTTCAACTTTAACGACCGTATAAAACACACTGAGCTATTATGCAGTGTCCTACGGTTTGCTTCTAATCACATACCGACTAGATAATTTTTCCGTTAGAACCGTCAGCATCTACTCAGATTATTCGCGAGCAAGAGATTAAGATTTCTGAAAAAAATCACCTAGCCCTAACCCGTTGAGTATAGTGAGATGGCAATCATAACATAGATCAAAACAAACCAAACTAAATTAGAACTTGATGAAATTAAACACATTTCTTCCAAAACGCTTGAAAGTCCCAAAGAGTAACAATACTTTTTGATAAACCCCTTAGACGACATCGTATATTGACGGGGTCACATCTAAAAAATAGCAAAATTTAAACTTCAACATCTAAAACTAACTATCTGGTCAGTCGTAGGTATCATTACCAAGGTTCGATTCGATAATTTCAAATAAATTGAGCATTGTGTAAATCGTTATAAATATTATGTAATAATATTCGTGTTGTTCCGTTGTACTGTTTAAAATTGGATTAATTTTAGTTTGTTTATTTGTTCTCTGAAGAAGTAGGTTACACGAAGTCACGAAACGTCGGAAAATCTAATTTCTCTACACATTTGGATATTACACATATTTATTTATATCTGGTCACTCAGTCATATGCAATGTAGGACCTGACACATGTGTACATCGGTTCCCGTTTTCATGACACATTAGTACAGCGAAATAAAATCATCAAGGTAAACTACAGAGTAGTAGCAGGAGTAACAGTATTGGTGATAATAGAAAGATTAAGCACGAAAAACATGATTTGAGGAAACATGGATTTATGGAATTAAAAACTTTATAACGTAATTTATAAGCTTAGGATCTAAGGGAAAACAAAATGTAAATGCATTTTTGCCACTGTGAACGATTCTGAGCAAAGTTACTCAATGTCGCTAGCCAGTGATTGAGGGCTCAAATCAGGTAGCCTGTATCTACCTACATGGCTCAGTCTAATATTCGATGACTTTACGGACAAATGACACATCTTGGTTTGACCACCCTTCGCTTTTTTCTCACCTAATCGTATGACATCATCCATTACGATAGACAGTGGGTGAGCATACGCGATACATGTCCCAACCGTCTTGATCACTATCTCATCAATTGATTTCCTATTCTTACCTGGTACATTGCGTCTTACATATTAACTAGGTGATCCCGACATGCACGATCAATGTTTGGAAGACATATGCGATCTAAAACTAGTGTCTTACGAATATACTCTACTCTTAATGGTTTTCTCACAGCGGTAAAAGTAGAACGGAGAGAACTGCTGCACAGTATACTCGTCCTAATCGCCTGCACCAAAATGAGGGCGATTCGGAAAAGGCTAATCGAGCTTTTTGAATTCATGCCAAGATTTCATCGGACACTAAACCATCAGGAGTGATAAGATTTCTATGATAAGAGAAGTGATCAATGGACTCGATTAATTTACTCCCCATCCTTAGTTCGGGTGTTGAAGTAGACTAATTCTGAAGCAACATATGAAGTACACATTCATTTTAGCAACATCCAACTTCACATTAACACCTTTTTAAACAATAAGCAACTGTAAACTATATGAAAACATTGCATAAGACTTACCCAAATGAGAATATACGTGTCGGTTTCCAGTGTGAAACTACGGCAGCATATAACCCTACTACAAGTGCTGCTGAATCGAATAACATATGAAAACCGTCAGAAATTAAACCTAAACTATTTGTCCATACACCGTAAAAAAGTTCCACAAATGTAAAAGCCTGAAATTGAAATAAAATCTCATCTGTTAGAATGAACGCTAATGTATGCACTCATAAGAATAGCTAAAACTCTGTCTTCTCATTGTTCTATCAAAATTCAGAATAACTTTGATGGGGTTTCGTTCTGAGCTGGATGGTTTATTCGTGAGACATTCATTACTCTTCTGATCATCAGCGCAAAACTCAGATAGGAGTATGTCATTCGAATTTCTCCACATATGACTGACAGCTTGCTCTATCGACCCTGATCTTGATTGGTTGTTGTTGACCTTAACATGTCGTTGTCCGTACATTTGTTTCAACTGTTTATCTCTTTGACCTGATTGTCCATGATTTCTCTAAATGGTTGATAAATTTGTTCGATTTCAATGTGCTTACAAATTGCTAATTGACCTGAATGTCAAGCTTTTAAGGCTTCTCCGATCATCTTAGTATTTCTTCTATCTAAAATCTCAACATTTTTTCCGTTCCATCAAATTCTAAGCACTCTTCAGTTGATCCTTTTTGACAACGAATAAGTCATCCACATAATGAATCTACATTTTAAACTTGATCACTGCTAGAGTCAATACTTCCAGTCTCTGCAAAGACTATCCCAACTACTGCCTTATAAATACCAGTATAGTTAAAGATCGTTTATTTGAGAAAAAAAAACAATATTTCGCGATTCAATCAGTTAGTGAGAAGATTTAAGTTTTCGTTACAACGCGATCAAATGATATCATCAACATGAATCACCTATTGATATCCGACAAATCTCAAAAATCTCTCCAATTTCAGCATAATGATAACCTTTTCCAATTCTCAATTCATGTGAATCAAGACAAAAAGAATGTTTAAACAATTCGTATTAGGTGGATCTATCACATATAAAGCATTTTAATGTAAACAGGAATCCGTATTGTAGATGTAATATGAAATACAGAAAATTTTAAAAAGAATGCAGCTGCACTAAGTACCCCATTTGAGGAAGTGTTGAGGATAGATTATCACTATGAACTGCTTTAATATATATTAGCAAGCTCACTCGTTCTTTTACAGTAGATTATACAGAGCGTGCACTTTCCAAACAAATATCCCAGCACTACTCCTCATGGCCATCTAAAACAGGATGCACGTCAGTCAACACCTCAATTCCTGAACACATGGTTAACTCTAGTAAGGCATAGCTATCGAGATCATTTTTTAGGATCACCTACAAAGTCGAAAAAATGAGCTCAAGGGGTACTTCTGATAAAAAAATTGTGCGCAGTTGAGAGATTACCCATTCAACAAATTTTCCTTGATTAATCATTTCATTTTGTTTATGTGATATGACTCCAGAAATATAAAATGTTTTGATGTTACAGCAATTGGAATCGAGAACAATAATAAACAATTATTCAGATCAAAATAGTTTGATATTTGATCGTATTCATGACTATTCGAGTCAATTACTGAGACAGTGTCAAAATATGTAATGAAGTGAAAAAAAAATCACTAAATACAACTGATTTCTAATGCATCAACTAGTGGCTGTAATAATTAAAGTGCTAATGTTAAATATTTATAATTCACAAATTATAAGGTCTGAAAATAGACAAACGCTAAATGGTGGGTTAGGAACAGTAGTCAATTGTACAACATACAAAAAAAGCAAAATTCTTACTAGATTTAAACACAAGAACGCGAAAATGCGACGTGAAGCTTGTCCAGTTAATATGCCATGAAACGTAGCTCGTAAATGATACCATAGACCAAATTCTTCTGAATTCGCTAATAAGGCAGTACCGTGTGTAGGCGTTTGTCCAGCAGTAAATAAAGGTAAACCAGCCATTGAATAACCAATAAAATGACCACTTGAAATACCTTCTGGACCATGACCAGATTTATCTGCAGTTAAAAGATCTGAAGCTTTATTCAAATAAAAAAAGTGAAATTAGGAAGGTAAATTTTTATTAAGAACAATAAGTTACAAATTATTTGTAAAACCAGACAACTTATCTTAACAATTTCATCGTAAATAAACATATGATAGAAAAATATCAGAGACTACTACAATTTCATGAACTTTCTTTCGAAAAGAATAGAAACTTATTCCGTCATATTATCTCATAATAACTTAAAAAGGATTAGTAGTTGTTTGAACTACATTCTCTATAGAGGTACTTTTAATGGCTGATCATGATTATACTAATGTTAACAATGTGTTCATCAATTTGACAAAGTGTAACTAGCTAAAAAAAGGTCTTGTCTACAAGATCTAACCATATTGTTAGTTAAAGATTTTCCAAAATCAACTAGACTTGATTACTCTGCAAGCATTTCACTGGAGAAAGAAACGAAATGACTGATTCAACTAAAGTAAGGTAAAATTTATTACTATAAATCAGTGAACAAGTACAGATTTAACCAGTTGGTTTACATACGCACTTAGTCTTGTAGTTCTAATGATAATACTTGTTAGCCCATATTAATTAGAGTAGCGCATCATATAAAGTGAAGTGCTTTAAACTCCGATGCGGAAGTAAAATCACTATCAAAGATGAAATGTTTCTACAAACAGTGATGTATACAAACTTTACAAGATTGATGTATATTAAAAAAAATGATTGATTACGTCATGTCTTTTTACGCGGCTTTTTTGAAGCGGATTTATGAAGATATTCTATGCGCGCAATTATTGTCCTGTGAAGTATCAACCTAATGTTTAATTTAATTTAAACAAGATCGGAATTTGAGACCTATATGTATAGATCGTAATGGTAGTTCTTAATTAATGATAAACAATAATAAAACATCAATTAAAGGATGATTACAATCCATACTGAAGTCATACAGTGAAATCTATTCGTTAGGTTTTTCTTCAGTAAAATATGATAATCTGGCTTAGTTTAGTTAATTGTTAGAAGATTAAGAGTAAGATTACGTATTAACTTAATGTGACAGTTCATTCAGTACAAAACCCATTTTTATAATATTTGTTGTACGTATTCAGTGTGGTATTTCGTTGTGTATTAATCCAGCATGAACTACGCTAATAAATAATCAATACAAGTAAATATTGTACATAAATGAAAGTATTTGTAACTAATGGACGAGGAATCGTTTAGTTTTAAATTAGAAAATCAATCTTCAACCACCAAGATTCTTTGTCGTTTCCCTTGCACTAATCCATGTCAATCTTAGCTCAAGTTATAACAACAGACAAGATAAACTTGTCCTGAGCTCAAAGAGAGACAGTTATCACTTAGTGACAGAAAATAATCCTACAGGGAGTTGGTCTCAGACTAAGTGGAACATCAATGACAAATGTCAAATCTATAATACCCAGATACGGAAAATCTGAGTTGAGAAATGTACCATTTCCCAAGACTAGGCTAAAATCAGTCTAAACAAACAATGTTTAGAATACCGTTTTGATATTTTAAACTTAACGAATGCAGTTGAACTTGGAGTACCGAAATCTCCATGTTTAATTACTATTTTTCAAGAACAAACTGAAAGTTTTTTACAGTAACATTGTCGGTTGAAATGGTAATAAAACGTTTACTTTTATCTTTCCAACTGTTTTGGAGGATGAGTCAAGGAGTTATTGAGAGTATGGTACAAGTTCGATACTTGCATTCCCTATTGTGTAGTTAGTTCGAGTTGTGTAGTTCCAGCCAGTTCATAACAATGAGATTAGATAAAAACCACAAAACAAGTATAGCAGTAGATACTAAATATGAGGAATACAGTGGCTTACCATATAAAATACAAACGACCGAAACAATTACTCCAACAGACATTTGATGTTTAAGTAGGAAACTGTTTACAAGAATCTCATTACGATCGACTGAAACAAATTGTTCTACGGAATCTGAAGATGACCAGAAAAGGCTAAAAATGGTATTAGATGAGATATGTAATGTTTGCTTTTGAATTATCGACAATGAAACTTAGTAATTCAAGTAACCAGAAAGTGATTATAAAGAAGCAATACTCTAATAAGGAAAATCAATGCCAAAAACCGATTCAAAGATGACCTTAGTTAGAAGTTAACGACGAAGAAACAGATCCATAATGTATTAACAAAAAGAAATTAGAATTTGTGCTAATAAATTATGCAATCAAGATATCAATTAGATATGCTTTTAAAACAAGCAAGAAAGAGTTTTACATCCAAGTACATTAAAATACCTTAAAAAATATTTTGAAATTGATAATAAATGTAACTTATTTCAATCAGTTATGTTTTATACAATTTTTCGTCATTATGTAACTTACACCTGACGTGAACCTGACACAAAGGAACAGCTTAACTAGAATGTTAACAAATCTTTAATATAAAGATAATTTGTTTCACTTAATAATCCGTTTAACATGGTATTTTTTTCAATAACAATAAACGTTTACATCTAGATTTAATCAATTTTGTAACTGAAAGACCAATAGCTAGTAATAGTTCAAATGTGTAGAAATAAGAAATAAGGAATTACGACAATTTGATCAAATAAAACGTCTTTGAAATTCTGTTGCTTCTTTTTCTTCTTGTAAACAGTTAGAAAACGAAACTTCCTCAAGAAAAATTTTCCCAAAAATCTACTGGTAATAAAGTAGAATCTTGTCTAAAAACTAACAAGATTTCAAACATTTTCAATTACTATCTCTTATTCAGTATGTTTGGATTTGTAACTAAAGAACAGTATGGAGTATACATATAACAACAGAGACTGATCATTTACAGTCGTGAATATTAACAATAGGAAAATACAAAGCCTTGATAATATTTTCTTTTTTCCCTAATTTTAAAAGGACAATAATCGTCCATATGTTGATTAATGAGGAGTATTTGAGATCTTAATCTTTCAGATGCTATAAGTAAAACCTTTTGGTTGTTTGATGACTTTTTATGTATTTCAAAATGATTAGACAGCAACACGATATCCACATCCTCTTTGGTAATGATTCACCGATCTAGCCAATTGAAATCTAACCACAATTACGAAGTCAGTTGGATTGAGGTCATCTAATTGAGGGGTAATAACGCAATACTAGTGACATACAAAGCTATCAGATCGTTTGACCTTTATGTAACGCATTTAAGTTCATTCAAACTTTGATCTAATTAGTAGATCATTATTGAAATAACGAACCGATCTAAGTTTGACAAACGCTGGAAACCTAGTTACTGTGTGACCGTTTCGTTCTAGTATGGTACTCCTCAGCAGTGCGCATCTAGGACCATTGGGTCTCCTGTCAGTGATCTAGAGGTCAAGAATTCACGCGCGATACCAAGGATCCCGGGTTCGATTCTCAGGCGTGGAGTCATGGATACGTACTGATGAAAAGTGCCGCACTGGACGAAACGACCAACCAGTGCTTTCAGGTTTTTAATGATGATTTAAATAAGATCGGTTCGGGATTCCAACGAAATTCAACGATTTCTACAACACAAACTGATAAAAGATTCTCATTTCAACAGCTGGTCCAAATGAAGCCATGGTCCAATCTTTTCACTGACACATTTAGAGTAGATAAAGAAAAGCACGAAAAACCTCACAAGTTTTGTGTCAGTAGAACAAAGGTTTGGAAAAATTCCAATACGTAGTTTGGCTCATAAGTTTTACTTGAATTAGAAAGACTCACAAAGCTTTATGAACGAAATATGAAGGTCGGAAATCGCAACATTTTAAAGTGTCTGTAGTCGGCAAACAAAATATAAACTTAAATGCATACTATGGATCATGAAAATGCTTCGCAATGAATATTATGAAGGTTAAAACAAAAATAGAAACTAATCGGACAACCTGAATATTAGGCTAGTTATAACGACAGTTAGTTTAGCAAGACGAGTCACTGATTGAGAACCAAGTCGCCCGCTGACCAGACTGGTCATATAGAAATCGATTACATGCATGGTACTTATATAAACCATCCAAAATAGCCAATCTCTTTGTGGGATATTTCCAGATGATTCATGAGAAGGCATTTGATTGTTAACATTTTCTACCATCTTCAAAAGATTTAATTGTTCCTGTGGGAAAAACAAAATAAAAACGAAGAACAACCACGTATTATTTTTAGTTCTACTCATAGTACATATATAATGTATCTTAAAAGGTAAGTGGTTGAGAAGCAATAAAAATTGGTGCTCAATGCATTTGTCTGTTCATAAACATTTAGGTATGCAACGTGATAACTATTAAGCTTCCTTGTTGGAGTTCATATTTCGTTCATCAACAACTACCAAAGCTGACGAGACAACTAAGGTGAGCGAGTTTGTCAACGCAGTTAATTATTTGGCTTAAAGTGGGACTAGACTTCGACAAATGTTACACTTCATAAATGAGAAAAATATTATGCCACAAGATATCCTTCAAAACTTGGCGGCCTGACGGTATCATTGTCTAATAAAGCATTTATCTGAATACTTAGAACCGATTAAAGTATCGGATTCGTTTAAAACAAGACGCATTGCCGACCTATTCTCTCAACAAGTGCAATTATTTATCTTTTTGAACTTTATCGGCACAAGCTACTGAATTTCTTAAGACGATGAATATAACTCAATTTTAAGAGCTTGAATCTTCCCGTTATTGGTATAAAGGACGGCAATTGACCAGTTTCCTTTAGGGTATGTGCATCATAAGCGGCTCGCTTCAACGTTGCCACTAATCGCAAACACAGTTGGGTAGTGGCTCGAAGTGGAATCCAAGATGTGCATTTCATTCTACTTGAAACTCGACAGCTGACTGTTTCCCTATTGCAGTGTTGATGTTCACTCCGCGACACCAAGAATTGGAAGATTCAAACCCATAAAACTGGATTATAATTCATACCCGTTGTACGTACCAGTGGCTATCTGCATTCAGTAGATAAGTGGATAACGCGTTAGTGTGTGAAGTAAAAAACACTGATTTCGAGTTCTGGAGTAAATATTAAAACTACGATACTGCTACATTCAGCCGGATAGTTCCGAATGAGATAAAAAAACAGCTCCAAGATTCCTCTGCTAGCCACCACCCAACCCTGATTACGTAACGGATAAATTGTGAAAGCGACACTGTGCTTAGATAAAAATCAAGATCACATAATTTCATTCGTAAAGTATGATAGATTACTCGTATCGTCGTTTCACAAACTTCCTGTCAGCTGTAGATTTCAGTGGAATGATCTATTATAAGGATTGCGATAAATTATTTGAATGAACTGTGCATTTTTAAAATTTATATATATCCCGTTGATGAATGTTCAACAAATTTTATAAAGTGAAAGCGACTTTCTGAATGTACTTCAAAGTGGATCACGGGGTTAAAACGACTACCTTAGCATTAAACACTGAGTCCATCAAAATTAAGTCGTTTTGTATAAAACTTTGACTAATTAACAATCAAAACTCGGTACACTGAGCTAACCAGAAAAAATTAGAAAAAGCGGAGGAAATTAAACAGAAGACACTTACAATAAACCCTTTTTACTGGAGCTTTTCCGTATAAAAAATGTTTCCGTAAAAGAGACAATGCTAGTTTTCGTATCCCCATGGAAATCAATGGATAGTATAAAATCATAAATCATTCTTCCTTTCGAACTTCAATGGGTCATGTGAACCACTGGCTCCCAATCATAATAGCACAAATTCCCTAAGCAGATGTTTTGTGTAGCTCAATAAAAATTAGTCCCTCACACAAGTGAAAAATATACAAACCACGGAGAGCAACGTCCGATAATATCTAGATACTCTGAGAGACTAGCAAACTCATACCTAATTACGAAACATTAAAACAATATGGAAGGATTTATGAAGGCAAACAAAGGAATTCAAAATATATACCCAATTACCTTGGTGTGAAAGGAGTTTTCATTGAAGAAGTGAGTAAGAAGAAAAAACGGAATCAATATGACGAAGCTGATTAACGCAGAAAGGCTGTATAAACGTTTGGCACCTCCGACAGATGTTACTAACGTCCTAGAAATTGAAGCTAGCCCGGCATCCAAGCAAACCGCACTAATTAGGACAACAACACCAACCTTTTGAATGGAAAAAAAATCGACCGGTGATAGTGTACAATTTAGCTGACAAGCAAAACATCCTGCTACTGTTACATTTTTACGAATATTTGTCGCCCTTGTCAAAGGCAATCTTATATACTAACAACTGGCCATATCAACTCATTACCTGATAGTGCGCGGTTTCAGGCAGTCATATTAAACAACAAAATGCCCACGTGGCCTATGTCCACAACCAATAAAACTCCCCAACTATGAGAATAAGGGATATATCAGATAAGGGGATCAGGTATCTGTTAAAATGATTCCTATTCGTGTATTTCATTAGAATCAACTACCAATAACTCACCAAATGTATGCAGTTTTATACATGTCGTCAATACCATCAAAGAAATAAGCTAAAGTCATCTCTGCTAAGGTAGAAGTGATATTTAGTCTGTTTAACAGAAATGACTTAGTGGTTAAGGCGTTTGGGCTCCAGTCATTCTCAGGTTTGGACCCCGTCCAGTCTACTAAGGTTTGGACAGCTGGACAGTATCATTAGCTTTCACACTTAAAGTGTATTTCATACCCAAGTACTTGACGAATGAGTTAATTTATTTTTATTTATTTGTTTGCGTTAGAATCAATTGCGATGGAGTAAATGATTCCACTTTGTCTTCTCTTAGGTAACTGGTTTTCAAGAATAATTTCCATTTTTTATTTCGCGAATTATAACTTCCTTTTGGATCACAGTGTTGGTGCTGAATCTTTTTTACTATCACTGATGATACTGTTAGTTCCATTACTTTATCTTGACCACTCCATTTCCGTGTGCATCACTTTTGAAGCGTCGATACTATGCCAATTGGTACAAGAAACCCACAATAAATATAAACGAAACGCCAAAATAAACCCAACGTTTATAAGCTGATTCACCAATAATAAGCAGAATACACCGACAGTTTTAGATTTCAGCACTAGTCCTCACTAGTTTCATTAATCCAACTAAAAACCTCGGGCAAACAAGTAAAAGTTAAGATTACTATTGAGTGGAGTGATCTATTAATACGAATGGGTAAAAACGGAAACAAACACCGTCGAATAAATGTTTATGAAGATTAAGAAGACCAAGTAGACTTCAGCAGTAAAAAAGATACCCAGTTGAACTTTCGAACTATCAACCTAGTAATGGAGATAGCTGAAGTGAATAGTACACAAAATCGTAGCAATGATCTTGCTTTACAGTGATGACTATCAGGATATTCGTTTTAACTTTATTACATAAAATAAATCTCACATTAGAAGTGCGTTACTTCTTTTAGAGAATTCACAACATGCAAGTAGAATAAATCTCTTACCTTGTGATCTGAGAGTCCAAAGTTTACAAATAATTCATATAAATGATGGATTAGGAAACTTTTATGAACTCCTTCAGCTACACAATATTAGAGAAAGGAGTTAAAGGAAAATATCCACGTAAATGTATACGCATAAATACAAGCAGCTTGCAAAAAATATCAATCACTCAAGTATCAAATGTTATGCTAAGAAATTGTCAGGACAGTGAGACTACCTGAAATCTCTCAATAAAACGATATAATGGAACCAATTATCGTGGAAACGCAGATATAATTTATCATTTGAGGACTATTCAGACTGGAATAAAGTGCGTCTCATAGCTGTAAATATATTACATCATTTCAGCCTAAACTACGATATCCATTCTATACTTTATGACACAATCGTTTATGCCGAATTTTGAAGTTTCTTCCAGTATTAAAGTTTAGCGCAGCACAGTACACTACTAAATCCGTCTGTATGCCGACTAACGGAATTGCATAAAATATTGACTGACACTCGCTCAATAAATTGACATCAACGTTGGCAACTAAATAGCAGCGCAAACTTAGCATCAACAAATAGTGAACAAAGTTTATATAATACATTCAATAACACAGGAGCTTGAACAAATAAAATGACTGACTGAGTTAATACAGCATTGAATTGTGTCCTTCGCACACACAAGAACTCGCATTCTGGAATAAAAGGTCACCTAACGTGAATGTCAACCGTGAAACAGTCAATTATCACAAGTCCTAATCAACGTAATGAGTTGCTTTCCGAAACACTGCTAACAAAATGTCAAAATAATGTTAAAGAAAGAATAAATATCATACCACTAGGTAAAAAAGTAATGAAAAGGATACGATGCTCCGTCTCCCCATGACTACTATCATGGTCGAAAAATACCAAACACACTACACCAATTACAAAGAATACTGACCCTCGAGTCTACAAATGATCAAGTTTAAAGTTTAAGATACTAACTTTTTTAGTGCAATTGGACCCGAAGATAAATGTACCAACTGAAGCAAGAATTAGAAGTTCGCTGTGCTCGAACAACAAAATAAACCTGGAAATAAGAGGTCATTGTGAAGTTTTGTCACCTGAAGGGACCACAAAGAATAAGCCCTTCTATCCAAAAAGCATCAATAAGAAGCCGGACAAAAGAGAACTTTAAGATGTGAAACCACTAGAAATAAACAGCGAATAGCCAATGAACAGACCTCAGTAATCTTCAATTTAGGTCCATTAAAAGGCTTCTGCAGTGGCACCATAATAAGTAATGCACTAGAAGAGATATATGATAAATTTATTGACAAGCTTACGTAAATTTTAAAGCAATTAATATAGTAAGAGGATTAGAATTCTTTAACAGTTCATACGTAGCGTAAACAGATATCACTTTTAGTAGTTTGATGACAGCTAAAACTACCAGAAGAATTTCCATCCTTAAAAAAACTATTTCAAGGTGTAAACACCAAATACCTTCTTCCGCGGTATGATAGATTACTAGAATGAAAATCCATTTTGTTCAACATCGCGCCTTACCAAACGATAGCGTCAACCGACCTTGAGATTATAAACGCTTTGGTGTGGCTTTCAGTCTTCAGTAATAAGGATGGTCTCACTATCTTCTCTGTATTCATTCTCACTAATATATTTCCGTAATAACGTCCCTTATGTTACACGGTAATCAAAGCAGCCACAGTACCTTCATACGACGAAGGGGTAATCAATGTTAGGTGCTGACTGTGAGGTGTGACTTCAATGTTAACTGTTGATCACACCATTCCCGTCTTACTCGAGTAGGCCCTCAAAAATTGGACATAGATTATCTACACATGTATTGTGTAGTGATGTGAATCATCATAGTTATTTAATTGCATCGCCACACTCTTGTTGGAATTCCCTTCTGGTGACTGTCCGTCCATCCATGCCACTAATGAATTGAGATCATCCTGTAATATTATTTTATCACAAAGATCCTACCGTGACCACCTCAGTCCAACTAATATCAGGTGTAATAAAGTCTACTAATATCAAGCATCTGTTATTTGCACTCCATATTTTTCCTTAGAATTTTGTGATTGAAATGGTGATTCTTTTGATTTGGGCTGAAAGAGTTCGTTGAAGGTAAGTTTCCACGTGTCGTAGTAATGCCATCCTTGATATTTTCTTACTAGGGAGAAATTTTCAGCCTGTGAAGCCAATCTTCCATAGTTTTCGCAAGAGCAACCTTTACTAAACATTTCATCATATCTTTAAAGTGTTGACACTGTTTTAATAAAATAAAAAGCAACAGTATGGTGTTGGAAAAATCTCCAGGATATATAGTCTTCGATATTGATGCCGACCTCAGTACTTTGAAGAGACACATTGTAGCCGAAGGCCACAACCGTTTAATATGCCGCATTACACACTACTAACAACCCACGAGCTTAGATCACATATCGAGTAACTGCCAAATATGTCTATAAACACCTTAACTCCTGACTTCGGATTTGACAGGGTTTTGAGCCCTTAATCATAAAGTTAAAATGGACAGTTGTTTTGTCGAACACCAATATCTGTGACATCTTTGACAGTATTGTGCCTCATAACAAGTCTCAGCAAAGGTTGTGTACTTCGCTTAGCCTGATGATTTTTCATAAACAGAATAAGCTCGTCTATCTACCGGTTCTTCTGCCTTAAAATGCACCAAGTTAGTCAAACTCTTTGATACAACAGTAAACTCTAGTTACTAAAATTAGAAGAGAACCCAAAGGTCTACCTCGACAATGTGGTTCATTATTCATGCCTTTGAACTGCAGACCTTAGTTTGACATGTTCAGAGTTGGACACTAACTCCATTCAACAGGACATTTATGCAGTACTGTTTCCCCTTTATTGTACCTATTGTTGATCTTTAATACACTTAATTTACTTTAGACGATTATGCAGATCTCTTGACAGCTCTGTATTATGAGATGCGCATATATCGTTAAAGGAAGATTAGATTAATGTGACACGCTCACTAAACCTTTTAAGTAATAACGTCTTTATTTCGTATAGAATACATGAGAAAGTGGTAAAAGCAACTGATGCTCAAGCAAATTGTAATCCCACAACCTCTCGTTGAAGTTCCGAAAAAATTTTCCACGTCGGGCTCACCAGTTTCGTGTCTCCAGTTAACCCTTGTGGTAATGATAGAAGAAACCATACAAGTAGTGAATAGGTCCTTTTTCAGATCTTCGCTCTGTCACAGTGGAGCGTGGGATTATTTGTTAAGACAAACAAAGTCTCTCAACATTCAATATAAGATAATAGGAAATATAACGCCCATATAAAATAAGGAAGTGAATGAACACTTTAACTATATTGTTTTAACATATGCTTAGTTGTCTGTGGTGAACTCTTAACCAACCAACCTAAGCTGCTACAAGCTCTCTCTTGGAATTATTGCTTCATAATGACTGAGTATATATATACATGCTTACGTCAATTTCGAGCGCATTGTTGAAAGCTAACATTTTCAGTTCTATTAACACAAAATTAAGTGAAACTTGAATTGTGACAATTGTTATTATCAGAATGAGGGTTTGTGTAGATTGTAGTAATTTTGGTAGTTCAATTCGTTAGTCAATATAAGCTAAACCACCACTCAACTATTAAAATTATTACGATCTTCATAAACCTATATTCTGATATTATCATTATTTGCTCACTAGTGACTGACTTTATCATGGATCTCCTGTAGTTCTAATGAGAAACTGTTACCAGTGGGTCCCAATTCGTGTCGAATAAAGGCAGGTATCTATCTCAGACAATGGATGAATGATTCTGTAAGATCATGATTCGAATGAAGTTAGACATTACCACTGTTGGATGCCGGTTGAGTGGTTTATGGGTTAAGCATTCGCGATCGAGGCCGAAATTCCTGGGTTCGAGTCTCACATGCAAGGTCGTGGATGCGCACTGCTTAGGAGTCCCATACTAGAGTGAAACAGCCGTCCGGGGTTCCCACGTTTTCAGTGGTGGTCTAAATATAATAGACGTGTAAATTTAATCATAAAACATATATTTAACCAACTAACAAGTATCTTACTGTTTTGTGTCAAGGTGAATATTGATCAAGTATCCGCATTCCTTTAACTGTAACTTATTTCACTCATTCTATTTTAAATATGTGTAACGTTATACATATGATGCATCACATCGTCAACATCGTGAATACAACTACTAAAAAACAGTTATTATTGTTAAACAAAAGTCATTGACGAAACTACTTCTGAAATGTCTCCTGACTATCTCATCAAAAGTTCTCACCGAAAATGAATATAAAATACTCAACGCCTGGGTCCCTTGGTTGATCTTTACGGCCCAACTGAAGTTTCCATTCTACATTCTGATACTAATTGTCTCTTAAATGGTATGCTTTGACAAGTAGTGGTACTGGTTCTAACCATAATCCTCAAAGCTTAACATGAGATAACTGGGTAAATAGACTTTCAACATGCAATGTTAAGAAAAGTTATAAATAGGGTAGGTGGATATGTTCAATTCGGTTCAATCGGATGGCATGGCCTAGCCTTACAAGTGTGGTCATTTTGTGTAACTTAACATTTTCATTCATATTAAATATATTGAACTATCTCTAGCCTAAATGCGTTGTACACCATATATTGGTGATTTTTGCGATAGGATGAGTCAGTGTGGACAGTGATGTGACTTCCACGTAAGATCTAGAACTTGTAGATCATGTAGTCACATGGCATGTCTAAAATTGTAGGATCAGGTCAATCATTGTAAAAATACCAATAACGGCGTAAACCATAATTTTACAGATATGTAGGCTACACTCCATTCAGGTAATGTTCTCCTTGCCTGGTAGTTTGTTTATCGCTTACATGGCAATCGATCAAGACTTCAGTCCCGGCTCTTTGGTTGAAATCACAAGTAAATTAAGCCTTTAAAGTGCCAAATAAATTATATGTGAGTAGATGAAACTAAAATCTATACTTTTAAAAGCCTGTCTACTTGAAACAACTGTCGACAAAATTCTGGCTATTCAGACAGTCAGGTATCAGCACTAACTACAACCATCTATGTAAATCAAGTCATCCGAAACATTCATAAGTATCGCATTTATAACTTGATGGAATATGGCTGGGGTTGACGTGACCAAATCACAACCATCAGTGGACTCAAAAGTTTTAGATTTCTAAAGTTGCTTAACTCATTTAAAACAAGACGTTGCTAGCATCAGATGTATATAATCATCGGACATCTGATACTGAGTCATTTTTCTGTTTCGCGTCTCACGTGAGCTCCATTTATGTTATCTGTATTCACAGGTGATATTCGAAAACTGATGCCGATAAAATATGCTACAAGCTAGTCCCAGCTGACTACTTGGGCGGGAACACAAAGTACGTTGTGCTACCGAAAAATATGCACAAATACTCATTTATATATATGCCACTCTAACCTTCAGGCAATTGGTCTATTTTAAAGCTGATGGGCTAGGCATGTCCTTTAGATTAGTTCTGATTGCTATCGATCGACTTTCTCATCAGTTTACTTTTACCTGAATAACATATTATTACCAAAGTTGTTCTTTTTACCAACTGACAGATCCTTTGTATCTAGTTCAAGGCTTCATATGAATTCAGTGGCCTACCTGAATATCTAGGCTACCTGTTAGTGCCATCTAATTATTCATTTTTCAACACCTTGTTATTTTTATTAATCACACAATCAATATTGGCGCTTTATGAAAACTTTAGAATATTTCAGTTCCAGTTTGGCAAGGACAGGAGGTTCGATTACCTGTAATGATGGTTTCTCCGTTATTCTGACTTTATTTTGAAAGAGTCGATCGATGGAGCCTCAATCATGTTCTGAGGTAATGAATCCCACTCGTTGATGATTCAATAGGAAAGTCGATCGTTAGCTGACAAGTAGTTTGTTCTGCGCTTGTGGACGTTTTTGCAGTGTCCCCATAAATTCTCTGTTCTGGAAGACGCGAAAAATGAGGGCATATCAGGTGCACATTTATCACTAAGCGATTTGAAAACTGTAATCAAGTCATCTCTACTTCTTCGATAAGACAACGAGAATAGGTTTAGCTTAGCCAGTCGAGCAATATACAGGAGCTTCGCTATTCCAGGAATCAGCTTACTTGCTGTTCTCTCAACCGTTTCCAAAAGCTCACTGACTTATTTTAAGCAGGGGCCAGCCGCTTGTATGCAGTACTCAAGTTCAGGACTCACGAACACTATGCAAAGTCAAAAGTTTTAAGCGTCGATATGACTAAATGCCCTACGTATTGACCATGGAGTTCCAAAATCTCTGGTGGATATTGCACAGCAGTTTGCAGTTCTGATTAATTCTTGTCTAACGATGAATCCTAAGCCAATGTGTCTGGACAACAGGTAGCTCAGTGTTATTCATCATGTATGTATGTGTACCTTGATGACCGATATGCACCACAATACACTTGGAAGTAATTATCGGCAACTGTCAGGTTTGAGACCATTCAGATAATTTCTCCAGGTCATTTTGGAGTTCTAAGCTATCACCCTTACTTCGTATTGCTCTTCATATCTTGACATCGTCAGCATATAGCAAGACCGATGGTGATAGTAAACGAAGAAAGTGATTCACTTACAAGAGGAACAATGCTGGCCCCCAAACTGTACCGTGAGGCACTCCACTAAGTACAGTTCACCCGTACTCTTTGTTGGCGCCTAACGAGGACGTTTTTATCCACATCAGTAGATTGCTCCCGACCCAGACATTTCTTTGCTTATATAACAGGCAATTGTGCGGAACTTTGTCAAAAGCTTTGCCAAAATCGGTGAAGGCTAGGTCTACAGCTAACTTTTAGTCCTTAATAACACACCAGCTTTTACGAGGCACTTATAAGTTAGTTAGAGAGGAATAACCTATTCTAAAACCATGCTGCTTCTCCGAAAAGATCAGGTTTTCATCGAGGTACCTGTTAAGTTTGTTTTACATTGTTCCTATATGTTCCTTTTCTACTCTTTTGTATGTTGTTTTATACTACTTATTTACATTCAGTAGGCAGCTGTATACCCAACAATTTTCACACTTATGTTGTAACTCAAGTTGTACTGTAACATTCTGGAATGCTCACATATATCTTTAATGTTTATTTTACTTATAATTGTATTTATCATTATAATCACTGTAATTTAATTACTGTAAAGGTTATCCACAGTTCTATGCATTTGTTTGAATGCAACAGTTTCCATATTGTTTGCTCTTGGTTCGAGTTTCAGTCAGTCAGTCAGTCAGTCAGCTACAACGTAGGACCAGGCACATATGTGCATCGGTCCAGGTTGCCATACCTCATTAGCACAGCAAGATGAACACCGGATTCATAGGAGTGGTTAGGTCAAAGGTTGCAATAAGGATATAGTATAGGAAGAAAGAATTAGTCCGTAGAAAGAAAGATATGAAGTGATTTTAATCTCTTAGTTTAAGGGAAGACAGGGAGTGTATACACCGACGCCATTGTGATCGATTCTGAGCCATGTCACCAAGAGTCTCCAACCATCGGTTACGAAAGTCACGCGGACCCCAACCAAGTAGTCTGCATCTACCAACATGGCTCAGACTAGAAGTTAGTGACTTCAGGCATTGATGCCACGTTTTGGTTTGGCCGCCCCTAACTTTCTTCCAACCATCCCCTACACCGGTTAGCATTGCACGTCGTGGTAATCGGTGTTCAGGCATACGTAATACGTGGCCCAACCATCTCAGTCAATGAAGATTCATAACCTCATCAACTGATTTACCATCATTCCCTAATACCCTGTGTCTAACCTCACTATTACTTACCCGGTGATCCCAGCAGATGCCAGCAATATTTCTAAGGCATCTGTGGTCAAATACTAGTAGCTTACGGGTGTTTTCCACTCTTAAAGGCCATGTTTCGCTGCCGTAAAGTAAGACAGAACGGACTGCCGCGCAGTATACTCGTCCTTTTATTGATAGACGGATATCTCGCCTCCGCCAAAGGTGACGTAAGTTGGCAAAAGCCAAACGAGCTTTTCGAATCCGTGCTGAGATTTCGTCAGACACCAACCCATTAGGGCTGATCAGACTTCCAAGATAAGTGAAGTTGTCGACGCGTTCGACTACTTCACTCCCCATCCTTAGTTCAGGTGTTGACGCAGACCAGTCCTGAAGCAACAACTTGCATTTAGAGGGAGAGAAGCGCATCTCAAACATTCTGGCATTGTTGCTTAGTGCTACCAGAAGACTCTGCATTTTGTCAGCGTCTTCACCAAACAGGACTATGTCATCTGCGTATTCTAAGTCGATAAGTGGACCTCCTGGAAGGAGATCAATACCCGAGAATTCAGTCGACGAGAGTGTTATTTCCATCAATAGGTCTATGATGAAGTTAAACAAAAATGAGGAAAGCGGACAGCCTTGACGGACACCACTTGAAGTTGCAAAAGTAGATGACAGTTCGCCATAAGCTCTGACTCGACTAGTAGTGTTCGAGTAAAGAGCCTTCACAAGGTTTATGTACTTCTGAGGTACGCCTTTCAATGACAGACACTGCCACAGAATCTCGCGGTCTACAGAATCAAATGCTGCTTTTAAGTCAAGAAAGACCATCATCGTCGGACGCCGATAGGTATGCCTGTGTTCTAGAACCTGACGAATGGTGAATATGTGGTTGATGCAGCCACGACCAGGTCTAAAGCCAGCTTGGTTCTCTCGAGTTTGTAGTTCACGAGTCTTAGTTAGGCGTTTGATAATTATCGAGGCCAGTATTTTAGATACTATGTTTGTTAAACTAATCCCTCTGTGGTTGTCACAGGATGATTTTGACCCTTTCTTATATATTGGGACGATAAGTGATTGCGACCAGTCAGATGGGATAAAGTCTAATTCCCAGATCTTAGCTAAAATATTAGTCAACCTAATCGCTAAAATTGGGCCACCATCCTTAAAGACCTCTGGAGCCAATCCATCTGGACCAGCTGCCCTTCCTCGTTTCATATTAACTATAGCCTTTTGAACTTCTGCTAGAGTTGGGGGACCTACTTCAATGTTCCATTCACACTGTCTGGGAATAGAGGGTAGTTGTACAGTAGCTGAAGACCAGCTGAACTGCTCTCTAAAATGTTCCGCCCATCGCTCTAAACGCCTGGACTGGGAGCAGATGAGAGTATCATCTTTTTCCGAAATAATCTCACTTACACTTGACTTATTAATTCCAGTTTCTTTTATTAGTCTGTAAAGCTGTCTTGTGTTCCCTATAGTCGCCGCCTTTTCCATCTCTTTTGCTTTCGTTACCCACCACTGCTCACGGTCGTTCCATAGACTTTTTCTTAACCTAGATCTGATTTGTTTTCGCTCTTCATCATGTAGGATCCAAACTACGGTTTGGATGTTGAAGAATAGCCGACAGGGGGTTTTAGACACGCGCCCTTTCCCGTCGAAATCAGAACAAGTAATCGGGTAACTAGCGGTTCTAAACAAATATTATCACCCGGCTATTCAACCAATGATTGTTCAATCAATTAAATCAATCACCACAAATAAATGTTATTCTATCCTGTCTGGATAGATCACGTACAGATTCGTTCAAAAGGTAATAATTGGTCGCTCTATAACACGGAGTGTTTTCAATTCTGGAAGAGTGTTTCAATTCACAACCAAAATGCACAATTCCAGTCAACACAGGTCAAGCAATCAAAAGCAAGGATAAACCAAAATGGCTACCGCCCAGACTTAGTATAAAGTAAAACAACATAAGTGCAGCTCGGGAAGAAACATGGGGAATTGGTGAAGGTGTGGTAAAAACGAAACTATAATAAAATACAAATATTAACAATTCAAATGTAGTCAAAAAGTTAACAATGTACAACTAAAAGAATCAATAGGAACAAAGTGTAAGTATATACATGGAGGGATTTTCACAAACACACGAGGCACTCAAAATGGATCTTACACCGGCCCCCAAAATCCCTCCATATCACACAAGCTACCTTGACGCCTACGGTCATGGTTCATCATATAACATATCACACCATAGGAACGAGTAGGACTTACAACAGTACGCCTACTCGACCTAACTACATTAATAACAACAAAGACTAATCCAAAGCTTCAAGGAGACCTGCTTCACCTGTCCTCTGGTGATCAACGATAACAGTCGTGATATAGACCTAATCACTCTTCCCCAAACTCCACCAATGCTGTTGGATGAGGGCCTCACTGACAATTCAATGTTTATCTTCTGATTCGACTGCTGCACAAACTTGCTTATCTCAGAAACTGTCACCACAAAGCTTGACGCACTGTCACTGTAAATCTCCGGAGGTTTCCTTCTTCTTCCAATAAAACGTAATAGAGCCATTAAAAATGAATCAGTAATCAAATTACACATCATTTCAATATGTACTGCCCATGTTTGCAAACAAGTAAACACATATCCATACCCTTTTTCTAATGATCTTCCTATGTGTCCTTGTTCTTTAGGACAATGTCTAATTATCATTTCCGTCACTAAGTGTCGACTGGGTAAAATTACTGGATGTTTAAAAGCATTTGGGAAATCTGAGTATCTTAGTCGACCTCCAACGCAGAGTAACCCATCAAGCATCATCAACGATAAACCTTTCAGATCATCATGGCTTACTACTTTACTACTGTTCTTAAATTCACTAAGTAATTCTCCATACACTTCTCTCTGGACCATCAATAAAATCTTACGCTTGGCAATCTCAAGCTCTATGACCTTTAAACATCCTAGATGAACGGATCCTTCACAACTCGGTAAACGAAGTACCATCAGGAATTCGATGAACCTTCTAAACCAGGTTACAGCTCTGACTAATTTCAACCACTCGGAATAATAAGAGAGAACAGGTGTCTTGTTGTACTTTATACTACTCAAGTTAACCACAGCAGTTTTTCTAAACTCAATATCGTCAAGAGTAGGTTCCGGACAGTCAGTGATTGTTATATAAAATTCGCCATGCCATAAAATAGGACATTTGAACCAAGATTCAAGATCGGTCATTTTTTGTATATTTCCTCTACATAATAATTCACTTATATGCTTAACGAAACTCTCTGCTTGATCACAAGTGGGAATGGATATCAAGCAATCATCAACATAGAAATTATTCTTGACATCATCTACAACATAACCATCATAACCGTCAGAGAATATTTGGGCCGTCTTATTCAGGGCAAGGTTCGCGCAAAGTGGCGATGATGTGGCATCAAATGGATGAGATGTCATTTGAAACTCGGATGATTCCCTCGACATGTCTCCCTCTTGCCACCACAGAAATCTTAAAGCTCCTCGATCAGACTCAGGGACCTTCACTTGCATGAACATTTCTTCAACATCTACAGGGATTGCAACTGCCTCCTTGCGAAAACTTATTAATATACACCTTATCTCAGCAGTGGTATCGGGTTCTTGATAAATCATATCATTTGGGGGAACCCCTGCAAACTGAGCGGCACAATCAAGGACCACTCTAAGATCTGGTTTTTTCATGTTTAATACTGCACGATGAGGTAAATACCATCGAGGGCGATAATAAGATTGCAGATATATTTCAAAGACCCTCTCCGCATAAGTCTTAGTAAAATCACTTTCAGTACTTTTGATATACTTGATGTGCAGACTGACATCCTTCGACAACACACCCTTCAAACTTTGTAATCTACTGTTTGCTACTTCATAGTTATCCACTTTCATATCTGGATTCTTTTTCCAAGGTATAGAAACTACAAAATGACCGTTGCCGAAGCGCGTGCCACCTTCCACAATCTTTATAGCCACCTTGTCGTCTACTAATAATGATTTATCACTTGAATAAGCATCTGAAAACTCTACGTCATAAGGCTTACGTATTTCGTTCTCTAATGTCTGTATCTTACTGGTATGATTAACAACTCTTTTCCTATATTCCGGGCATGATGGCTTATCATTTACGACGTTGCTTGTCGAGTCAGTGTGCAGCAGAGCGTGATGTCTCCTCTCGCAACTGTCAACCTTACAGAGCCTTGTCATCTTACATTCATTAACCTTATGTCCTTGTCTAAAACAGACGAAACAGATACCCTTGCATTTAGCGTGAGACCATCGGTCTTGCACTGTAAGCGCTAAGAACTGTGGACATTTATCAATGGCATGGTCGTAGGAACACATACTACATTTAGTTTTCATTGTCGAACTATTCCCTTGCTCTGATTGCACGTGACAGTTCGTCTTTACGTTATGTCCTTTTCTAGAACGGTTCGCTAACCGTCCAAATCTACTACAAGCCACTCTCGCACGCGATGCGATAAACTGAGTGAGCTCGTCGAAGGTCGGTTCCCTGTTATCTTCAGTCAATTTATCCACCCAGTCCGCCCACTGGGCTTGCATAGGTTGAGGCAAGAGTCTCACTATTCTTTCCAAGGTAACTAAGGAATTTAGATCAGAAGTATAATTCATCTGCTCCAAGACCATGGCACAGTCTTCCATCTTAATAGCCAAATTTGATAGTTGGTCCCCGTCAATATACTCAAAATTCACAGCACTGAATAAGTCCTCTAGTGTTTCTCGAGCAATTACGTGAGGCTGTCCGAAAAAACGTTTTAAAATCTCCCTTGCTCTTTTATAGCCAGAGGATGCCTCCATCATGACGCAACCTTCAATAGCTGTTTTAGCCTTGCCCTTACAGTAGTGTATCAAATAGAGTAAGCGCTGGCTATCATCCGTGACTCTTGACGCTACATACGTCTCAAATTGCCTTATAAATTTCCAATAACCTCTTGGCTCTCCATCGAAATAACTCAGTTCAACCTTTGGTAGCTCTGGGCCAACAACATGGACTATAGGCGACATGCTCTTTCCTAGTAATCCAGGCCTTTGCTCCTCCCTTAAACTAAGATTTTTTACATCAACTGACATCGAATTAAGGCTAGAATCACTGCCATGATAATTAACCCTATTTAAGTCTGAACCATGACCCTTAAGGACGTCAAAAGGCACTTGCTTGACAATAGGGGATTCTTCGTTAACATCGACGAACTTTGAGCCTGATCTCCTTCGACGATTAACTGGCATTATAAGCGACACGACCAATTATTTCCAGAAAATCCGTGAACGATTACCAAAGGATTTCGACCAAGTAATATTTGTTTAGAACTGTAGGATCCAAACTACGGTTTGGATGTTGAAGAATAGCCGACAGGGGGTTTTAGACACGCGCCCTTTCCCGTCGAAATCAGAACAAGTAATCGGGTAACTAGCGGTTCTAAACAAATATTATCACCCGGCTATTCAACCAATGATTGTTCAATCAATTAAATCAATCACCACAAATAAATGTTATTCTATCCTGTCTGGATAGATCACGTACAGATTCGTTCAAAAGGTAATAATTGGTCGCTCTATAACACGGAGTGTTTTCAATTCTGGAAGAGTGTTTCAATTCACAACCAAAATGCACAATTCCAGTCAACACAGGTCAAGCAATCAAAAGCAAGGATAAACCAAAATGGCTACCGCCCAGACTTAGTATAAAGTAAAACAACATAAGTGCAGCTCGGGAAGAAACATGGGGAATTGGTGAAGGTGTGGTAAAAACGAAACTATAATAAAATACAAATATTAACAATTCAAATGTAGTCAAAAAGTTAACAATGTACAACTAAAAGAATCAATAGGAACAAAGTGTAAGTATATACATGGAGGGATTTTCACAAACACACGAGGCACTCAAAATGGATCTTACACATCATGTTCAGAACCTGATGGGACGAGTTTACGAGAATCCATCAGTGTGACAGACCTTGAAGAAATCCACTGGTTCCTTGCAACTCTGTGGTTTAAGTCACTAATAGATGTCACTGCTGTTTCCACAGCTGATTGTATGCCCTTCCAAGCAACATCTGGGTCAGCCTCGTCTTCACAACTACCTAAGTGTGACCTCAGTTGTTCCTGGAACCTACTTTTGATTTTCTCGTTACTCAACTCAGTTCTGACGGGTCTTTTTAATGTGGCTTTTTTGCGTCCAGTGAGGCGCAAGCAGATGCGTGCCCGTATTAGGGCATGGTCGGAGTCCAAGCAGGTACTCCAGAATGAGCGACAATCTTCTACCGACCCTCTCCAACGATGACTGATGGCAATATGGTCTATTTGAGTCCATCGTTGGTTTGGTGTAGGGGGTCGCCATGTTAGACGATGTCTCTCCTTATGCTTAAAATTTGTGTTTGCTAAAAATAAACGATTGTCTGAGCATAGCTGCAGCAGACGATCACCATTATCTGTTCGCTGTGTCGGAACACTGAAATATCCACCTAAATGCCTTTCTGTTTGGTTTAAGCTACCTATCTGAGCATTAAAATCACCTGCTACGAGTACTATGTCTGAGCGTTTAGCTTTCTGAAGAAGTTCGGACGGCTTTCTGTAAAATTCATCTTTCACTTCATCTGAGCTGCAGTCAGTGGGAGCGTAGGCAGAAACGACAAAAAGGCAACGACGTGTGTCCCTATCCTTCCGAGTTCTTACGTAGCCGTTCAGCCGAACGGCACATAAACGACTGTTGACGGGGATCCACTCTAGCAGTGTTTGTTCCGCCCTCATGCTTAGTGCTATGCCTACACCTGCCAGTCCACGAGAACTTGCCATCGGGTCACCAGATACACGAAGGGTGTATCTTGTTGGCTCTCCGTTTTGCCGAGGTGAGGTCAAGTGAATAACCACACTGGAATCCTGTATGCGTGTTTCGGAGACACAGCATACATCAATGGAAAGAGACTCTAGGGTTTTAGCCAAGGAAGCCTGCTGACCGATTTGACATAGGGTGCGTACGTTGAAGGCTCCAATGTGTAGTTTGGAGCGAGGTTTCAGTAGACCTGGGACAGTGTTTTGCGCACTAGAATCGTTGGCTATGGTGACACTTGAGGTGGAAGCCGAGAGAGGAAATTTAAAGTTGAAAGTCGATGTAGGAGGAATAATAGGAATTGAAGAGGGAGGTTGATTATGAATACAGTGGTCTTGGGTGCTGTTAGAGGTATGAGGGCGGTTATCACTTCCCGGTTGCCCACACCGAGGAAGGGTTCTTCTGGAGGTACCTGAAAAGGAAATTGGATTAAAGGTGGTCTTAGTGACCTGAGAGCGTGACCGCAGTGCCCAAGGGACAACTGCTTGAGGCCGGTCGCGCACGGCCTTTTCGTAGGAGGTTTGTGACGTGTTAGCTCCGTTCTTCAAAGGGCCTTACCGCCGGAGACGGAAATCCGTGAGGTAAGGTGAGGTGTGCATTTTTAGGGTCGACCTTTTCTAACCCCACCCCTCCTTGTGGGAAGGCAGCATCGCTGTCATGCTGGTTGTCTGAAGGAAACACCTTACTGCTGTCACACCTCTGTACAGTCAGCAGTACGACTTCGCCTTCGGACCTTGGGTTTGTTGCTTTTAGTCTTACCGCTCTTCAACCGACCTGTCTGACATGGTAGGACCTTGAGGAACGGTTGTTCCAGCCAGTATAGCTCGGTTGCTTCATCACGATAGGCAAGCCCGACCACCACGTCAAGGTAGCAACAACGGTCGGGTTCGAGTTTCGGTTGTTCATAAACTGTTACCAAATTTAGACACAGCTATCGGCTGTCTTTGGACTATCGTATGTTGTAATCATTCTTTATGTTACTCTTACAGGAAGCCTTTGCTATTTTCATTCTTGAACGACGCGTTTAAACGCCTAGACACCTCACAAGTTGAGGTTTGTAACTAAATTTTGTGTATTATTTAATAAAGAACCGCTTTTGTAGACAAATCGTTGTTTTGGAACTTCGATTTTGCGCGTATCTCAATCGGGGTTACTTCGACGCTTCGATAGAGTAACAGTTCTGAACTTTGGTCCTAATTGGAGGGAATACTTGCTGTAACGAATTTGGTCGGAATCCTGTTTGGTTCATTCATCCCAACGATAACTAGAACGAGAAGAATGAAGTACAACGATGACAGTTCTCAAGACACAGACAATTCCAGTGCTGAAAACATTATTCCTTCAGTTTCTAAGGTGAATTCACCTATTCCTTTAAATCTTGCCTTTGATATTGTTAAACCTAACCCCAAAGACAGTTGCTCGGTAGGAGACAATTATGTAGAGACTAGATACAGCGTAGTAGACGAAGTGGTTTCTAGGGAAAGGGAAGTAGAAAAGATTGAGCTGGAGATTAGAGAACTCCAACTACGCAAGCGATTGTTAAAGCTAACTCCGATCTCTTTAAACAAAGTGAGAAGACCTAGGGAGACTACCGAGTTGTCGGGGTCTCGATCCGAGGATAAAACTTCAGCAGTTACAGCAAGTCACCGATACACCAATGTACCTTCGAGTGATGAAATGCAATTCAAAGCACAGGTAGATAGTGTCAAGGCGCTATGTATGTCAGTAAGCTTACCGAAGATAGAAATCATGAAATTTGACGGGAGTCCTCTGAAATTTTGTACGTTCATGAAGGGATTCAAGGTTAACATAGCTGACAGAGTAAATGATGACACTCAGAAATTAATGTACCTGATACACTATTGCGAAGGTATAGCAAAGGATGCTATAGAACACTGTGTTTTACTACCAGAAAAAGAAGGTTATACTGAGGCAATTAAAATTCTACATGAACGGTTCGGCAGACCACATGACATCGTGGATACCTATGCATTGTTAGATAATGGCTCAGACTCGACATTACTGCTTAGTGACGTGGCAAAGCAGGTAGGAATTTCTGGTACAGTGACAAGATTAAACATATCTTCGGTAATTGGAGCGTCATCTCAGAACGCTGAACTTACCAATTTCGAAATTGAGTCTTTAGATAAGACCAATCGAATAAAAATCGAAGGTGCATATACTATAGATAACCTACCTATTAAAAGAGCAGAAATCCCACCAACGGACTTCCAAGAAAGATGGAAACACTTGAAAGGTGTACAACTACCCACCATAGCCTGTGACAAGGTTGGTTTATTACTTGGTGTTGACGTTCCAGAGGCCCACTGGGTACTCGATCAGCGTATCGGAAAACCTAAACAACCCTATGCTTCACTAACCATGTTAGGGTGGGCTTTATTTGGACCAACGGGTCAACTTAATAAAACTTCAGTCTTCATGAACTGTTTAAAAGCGAAAAATTCCTTTGAGGAGGATATTCTCAAATTATTTGAACATGAATTTTCTGAAAATAAATACTCTGATAAGGTTACCATGTCCCTATGTGACAAGACCATTATGGAGATTACTGACAAACAAACAGTATTGCTCGAAGGACATTATCAAGTGCCGATACCCTGGAAGGTGGATTGGCACTCACTTCCAAGGAATAAGCGCGAAATAGAAAAACGATTAATTTACCTACGTAAAACGTTGCTAAAAGACGAACAGCTTCGGAAACAGTATACTATTATATTAGCTACCCACGAAAGTAAAGGATATTTGTTTCGATTAACTCAAGCTATCGAAGAAGAAAGGTATTTTATTCCACATCATCCCGTATTTAACCCTAAAAAACCAGTTAAAGTTCGGATAGTCTTTGATTGTGCTGCTAAGTTACAAAACAAGTCTCTAAATGATTGTATATATTCTGGACCAGATCTTACAAACGACCTAGTGGGAGTTTTGCTTAGATTCAGAAAGCATAAGATTGGATTGTCAGTAGACATTGAAGAAATGTTCCTCCAGGTACATCTACCCGAAAAGGATACAAAGGCCTTCAGCTTTTTATGGTACCCCGATGGCAATCTTGATTCTCCTCCTGAGGTCTATGAGTTGCATGTACACCCTTTCGGGGCTACGTCCTCACCGTTTTGCGCTACCTATGCTTTAAGACGCACAGCTACAGACCACCGAGATTTGTTCGATGAAAAAACACAGTCTACCTTACGAGAAAATTTTTATGTAGACGACTGTCTAGTCTCAGTAGAAACAATATCAGAAGCTGCTGAGTTAGCAAAGAACCTAGTGAGACTCGTGGCACTTGGAGGCTTCCGTTTACATAAATGGGTTAGTAACGTAAATGAGGTGCTGAATGACGTCCCTATAGGTGATAGATCAAACAATTCAGTTCGTATACCAGGTTCAACAGAACGTATACAGAGAACTTTAGGACTTTGTTGGCACACGCAATCTGATTGTTTTGCATTTGATGTAAATCTTCCCGAACGCCCGATCACTAAGAGAGGCATTCTATCATGTGCATCATCGTTATATGATCCGCTTGGATTTCTAGCGCCTTTATCACTTACCCCTAAACGAATTCTGCAACAGCTATGTCGTAAAAACTATGGGTGGGATGAGATGATAGATGAAGAGTCACGATTGAGTTGGGAAGGTTGTTTAGAAGCAAAGATTTCTATCGAGGACGGACCCACGCCACCCTCTTCTTTGACCACAGTAGCGCCTGAAAACTCTCCAAATCGTTTGTTGCCGTTCATAGATGATCCTGGTTTATGCCTTAAACACTCTCCTGATGTGTCACTCTTAGTCGATGATGATGATGTACGCTTGCTCATAGTAACAGCA